GTGCATTAAGGAGTTATACGTTTTTCATCAAACATTGGATTTTTCCTTAATGGTAGAGACTGCTGCAAATCTTCTAAAGTGTCTCAGCAGCTTTAGGCTAAGAGGGATTTCATTTCTCTTATAGGAGAAGGCAAGACAAATTAGCCATTTCACCCTCAAACTTCACTAATGATCATTTTTTCCTTAAGGCCAGAGTTAAGAACACTAAAACTAACCATTTGGATAAATTTCCCAGTGTAAGACTTCCATTAAAACATTACTGAAAAGAGTCTTAAAAATGTTCCTTCTGGGCTAGGGGGTTATAGTTCAGTTATAGAGTGCCTGCCCAGCATGCACAAGTCCCTGGGTTCAATACCCACTGCTACAAAGAACAAAATAAAATAGAAAATACAAATGATCCTTCCATGTGGCCTCTTCCTTACTTCAAGACCAAAGACTGGCAGTGCTGGTGCACAGTTTGGAAGCACTCTGCTCTACAATTTGCAACACCAGAGTTCCAAGTGGACACCCTGAGGTTAAGGACTGCCAGTCACACCTGGATAGTAAATTCCTTGTCCACAATTCTTTCTCCTTTGTATTTCTGGAGATGTTTGCTAGAGTCTTGTAATATTAAAAACAAAACAAAACAAAAACCTCAACAGGGAATAGGAAGGGCAGTAGAATGAATCAGACCTCACTTTCCTGTATTCATATATGAATACACAATCAGTGTTAACTCCACATCATGGACGCCACAAGGATGGGAAGTTATACCCCATGTATGTATAGTATGTCAAAATGCACTTTACTGTCATGTATATCTAAAAAGAACAACAACAACAAAAGCCCTCAATAGCAGATGACATCGTCTTTCCCTTTTCCCAATTCTATGGCACATACCCAGAGCCATTAGCTGATTTTGTGGGACAGAGACTATTTGCTTCTTACTTCATGTTTAATCTTGCTCATAGAATTAGGGGATATTTTTATCCTGGAAAGACATAGAAAAAACACAGCACTCTGAGCCACCTAGCTTTGCCCCTCATTAGCCTACCACTTACATTTTCCAATTGACCATCTATATACAACAGGAATAGTAAGTAATGTCTACCTCCTAACAGGTCTTTCAAGACAGTCTTAACAGGCAAGGGAACCCACTGTTTAAGAGCACAGGTTTTCTCTTGGGCTGAATCATGGTTCAAATACTGGCCTTGTCATTTCACTAGCTATGTGACCTTGGTATGAATATAAAGTACTTGCTAGAGTGTCTGACGCATATAAATGTTAAATAATCAGACCCCATCATTTCTCCTTTGAAAATTATAACACATTCCACCAACATCCACTTCTATTATCTAAAGATGTACATAAAATAAGATATCCCATAATAGAACACTCACCAAATGCTTCCCCAGGCTCCAGTATCATATCCTTCCTTATCACCAAAGCAAGCCTGCCTTCCTGAGATAGGATGCTTAGCCCTCTCACGTGCTGACAGAGGAAGAAGGTCAGCCATAATTCCTCTCAGTTTTGAAGACTCAGCCAGCTGTATCAGTTAATAACCTCACAAAAGGCTACCCATTAGAAAGAAGGAAAGCAAGTCCTAATTACTCCAGTCAGAGATGCCATTATGTCCATGGCTCCCATAAAGTCTCCATGGCCTTAAGGAAATGGCACATAGCAGGAGAAATGTCACCAAATCAGATAAGTATTTGACCTAAATATTAAATAGCTCTCTGCCATCTATGAATCCATTTCATAGGTAATCTATCTTCAGACAAATCTTCTGTTTCTCTACAGTTCTGACACATTGTTTGCTCAAGCTATAAAATTTTTATCTGGATTACATAGCCATTTGGATAAACCAAAAATTACCTTTCTCCCCACCTCCTGTTTATTGGTAAAATGTATCAAATAGTTTCTAGATCATGTGCTCAAACCTCATTCCCGCTAAATTTGTTAGAAGCAAGCGTCACTGATTTGTTTTTAACCCTCTGATTAAAAGTCCAGGACCTTCTTTCTAAATGAGAGCAGTGCTGCTAGAATCTTGGGTTTCATTGTTAGCTAGTTTCTGTTTCATCTTGGAGAAATCTCTAAAAGAGGAAACCATTTCTCTGCAGGAATAGATACAATTGCAGTATACTCACAAGAATGTGACCTGCTTGGATTTCTCATGTTTACAAACACTAGAAGATAGCAATATGTAAATAAGATATATGATATAGGTTTTTAAAAATAACACTTAGGATCTGTTATAAAAATGTACCATAGCTGTGGTCAGACATACACAAATAGAAAATGCATAATGTGGCTTAATCCCTCCTGAACTGTTTTCCCAGACTAATATTTGAAAATGTCAACCATATCTTATTTTAAAAGATTTTCTGTGCCTAAAAAATAGACATATAAAATGACTGGAGGATTTATACAGGAAATTTTAAATAATTTATCACCAGAATAAGTTATGTGAATACCAAGACTAAAGGAACATATCCTTCCTATGTGATGGGAATCCATTTTTTTTCCAATTCCCTCTCCTCTTTTTAATATAATAGAATAGGTAGTAAGAACATTTTTGATGTAGACATGGTATTAATAAAACAAGAACTTACTTAAGAGTTTTTACTCAGATCATTACCAGGATTGCAGAACTACAAGATAAAGGGGTGTGAGTCTCTGGAGATCACTATAAATATAGAATTCCTTGTGCAGAGAGTAGAGATAAAATTTTTTATTCTAAGCCAGAGAGTCTATAATTTAGGTCAATATTTACACATAAATGAGTATTTTAAGTCTGAGATATAAGAAATGATGAGGAAGCCTTCCCCTGTAACCTATCACAGATAAATGACTTTCTCCAAAATTGTATTTCATGCTAATATTACCCAAAATATACTTACTTCATCATTAACTAAATTTTTGTTCAAAATTTAAAAATACACTACCAAAAATAGCTGAATTCTAGGTTTGTTGTAAATTATTTTTCCCAGTTCCAATATTTAAATAGTTAAAACTAATAGCACATAGCAAAGCCCTTATCATTTTAAGGGCCTTTGAACTGGGCTTGGCAAATCTAATTGTAAAGAATGATGGTCCACGTTATTGTTTTTCTTTTTCTTTTTTTTTTTTTTCTGACAATGTCTGATTTTCCTTCCAGGCATTAATTATAAGCACCAGGGTCTATTAGGGGGTCATTAGGAAGACCATTAAAATGGGCTCCCCACAATTTCCAGTGGAGTTAACATGTGGCACCTCCTGCCCTCAGCAAGGCGAGCAGAAGGCACTGCAGGACAGGAGTTACAGACCATGCTCAAGTCTCAGCCCAGGTGTTCCTACTGACAGAGTCATCCAACATCCTAACTCTTTGTAGCTCCTAAAAAAAACCCACACTTTGTCATTTTCAATATAAATTTCTGTATTCTACACACAAACAAACAAACAAAAATCATTCCTAGGAGAATTTCCAGAATAATATAGAATCTGTGAGGTATGCTCTCTATATGACATCAAAGCCCACCCTTCAGTATGTGGGGACCTAACAGAGGAAGACAGACTGGTGAGGCAGCTGGTCCTGCTTTTCCTCAAGTGTCAGGAAGGAAGTGGATGAGGAAACCACAGCTGGAGGCGGTTATTCGAGGTTTTCTGTGAGTGCATGGCACAGAGGCCTTCAGCAAAGGACAAGGCGGAACTGCACATTTCAGCATCAAAGGAGAGTGAAAGGTAGGTGAGATCTTGAAAACCAGCTTGCTCAGGGAATCAATGTGTCTAAGACTCACTCAGGACTCCAGATATACAACTGCATATTCCTAGTCCGACTCACGGAGATTCTGACTCAGAAGCATCAGGCCACATTGGTATCGGCTGAAACACTTCCAAAGCACTTGCTTTGTGCCAGACACTGTGCTGAGGTCTTTATGAATGTCATCTCACTTCATCCTCAAAACAGCCCTATTGTGTAGGTGTTCCTGTTTCCTCCCATTTTTATGGGTGAAGAAATCAAGACACAAAGTTAAGAAATTTGCCAAGGACAACCTGCTAAGAATGGAGGAAAGAGGGTTCAAACCAGACAGGCCACCTTCAGAGTCTGAGCCCTCCATCACCACCCCAAACTACCTTCCAACTGCACTAGGGGTAAGCATAGGCCTTCAGGAAACAAAGTGACAGAATTCAACTTTTTCACTTCTGAATGGAAACTGAAATCCAAAGAAGCAGAGCCTTTCATCTAAGACAAAATCCATCAGTGTATTTCTAGGAATAAATAAACCACTATATGATATCAACTATTCTCGAATATTCCTCTGTACTGTTTCTCTAGGGAGGAAGAGGACAGATGACAGTTTGAAAAACCATCTTCCTGCTGTGTTACTGTGACCAAGGTGCTGTCCTGGGGAACATTCCATCTTTTTCTGCCAAACTCAGCATTTACTCACAGAACATGACCCACTGCCAACAGCAGTGAGGGAGTCCCAGTCATGGTGATTTTCAAGGGAAAGTTAGGGGAGAGGAGAGGGACTCTTGCCATTCCTAAAACGGAACTGGTAGTTGAAATGAAGGCGATAAGATTGACATTGTTGAGGGAAAAAAATGATTTGATTCTGATATTCCACAGAAGGATGGTCTTCGGCCCCCTAACCAGCCATTGCTACAATCTCAGTACATGTCACATCTTGGATTAAGTCTTTGCTTTGTTGTGACATACACAGGCAGGCAGAATACCCAGAATTAGACTGACCTCAAGCTGAAAATAACTGCTCACATATATTCTCTTAAAAAGTGACACACCTCCAAACCGCATTTGATATGCAGGATCAGGTCAAATATCTTACAGATTTGTTGAAATTGCACCTTTTTTGCCATTCAACAGTCAAGGTAATTTGGGAGGACCACACGCAGGGATAATAACCATCTATTCCAAATGAAAAATGACCACAAAGCGGAGGCAGTTCCAAGGTAGCAACAAGTGCTAGGTCAGAATGTGTTCCTGTCCCAGTGACGCACACTGGTGGCCATGTCAAACCAACCTTCATCACTTCCACCTGCAGGTCTTCATTAAGCGAAGGCGTCACTTTCACGGCATTCAGGATCTGATTGAGCAGCTGCTTCTCATCAGAGTCTGTTTCCATGGATACAAACCTCTCTTCTGACAGCAGCTTCTGTAAAGAGGCACAAGGTAGTGATCACAGATAAGGCAGCAGGGGACAGCCTATTCTTTTGTATCTTATTATGTATCGATGATCGTTTTTCTTACTCAGGAGGTGCGTAGCTGGAGGCCATTAGGAAGGAAAGAAATGCTACATGCCATTAAAAAGAGAAATGCATCCAACATGGGATAAATGGGTTTTGGCAAAGACTTTTTCCTGACACTAGATAATTCACTCTAAATGTCAGCAAGTGAAATGCTAATGTGCTGGCCATCTAGGTTATCCAGTGGTGGGGATAAAGGATGAACCTGGCCATGACAACCTAGTGCCACACAGTAGTCTTTCACACATATACCCTTTCTCAATGTAGCTCCGTCACGAAAGAAAAAGGTTTCATATACCACAAGTTCATCTGTCTGATATTTAAATTTTTATTCCCTAATGCAAGCTGTCATTTGTCTAGAAGTTGCTCTAGGATGCACAAATCTTAGTATATATCCCGTTAGAAAATGATCTCATAGGACCTAAATGAGAAGGGAGTTTTTGCAATGAGGACTCCCAGGAGTCCTGCTCCTAGGACAGCCCTCTGCTACTTCAGGACAGCTTACATTTTTTATCAAATGCTTCCTTTGGCTGTGTGTAGCCCACCAACCTAACACCCTACTTTTTATCTTTCCCCAGAGGCATGTGAATTAAGTGTCTAGGACATGTGAAGTCAGCCATCAAGTTTCCCAAGGCCTTTTCTTCTCCAGGATGTTTCCTCAACTTCCTTCAAGGGTTCTCCACATGAGAAGGTCTCGCTGTGCTCTCCTGCTCAGAATGTGGCCCCAGGAGTGACTGCAGTACTTCTAGGTGACCTGATATTAAATGTGACTCATAACTTGAGTCACACTCTCAGGTCAAAAGAGTTTAGCTGGTAGTCATGGCATATTTCACACTGACTCACCCTGAAACTCCTAATTCTCACAAGGTTGCAATTAAGCTGTTCTCCCCCATTCTGAACTGGTATGGTGGGTTTCTTGAAACCCCAATATAGAACTTTATATTTATCCCTGTCTAATTTATTCTTTCCTGATGCAGCTTAGAGTCACTGCTTGTAAGGAACTTTGGGAATTCAGATCAATCCAGCATGAAGACTCTTCCTTTCACCTTCATGCCACTGCAGAGGGGGACAGCAAGCACCCTGGCTTCCCACTCAAGACTCCCTGATGTTGTGCCCAATTCTTTCAAAAGGATGATGTCATATACCTAGGGCAGCTCAGAGTTAAATTTTACATACAAAGTTGTTTTTATATAAAAAAATAAAGACTAGGGAGCTCTGAAATGTGCCTAAAGTTACCAGGTGGTGGGGAGCAGGGCATAGATAGTAACAGGAAGATTCTCAACCCACTAAGTCATCAAGTCATCAAAGTTAACACAAGCCTGTGAAAGCATGGTACTGCAGCTAACAATGTTCCAGGGTTAAAAAAAAAATTTAAAAAATGGAAAATCCCAAATTGATAAAATACAAGAGAAAAGGGAACAAAAATCAGCAGGTAAAACAAACTCATTATTTTTACAGATGGCCCAGTCATTGCTGGAAAGCAAAAGGTTTTTAATAATCTTATTGACAATTCAAAAATCTCAACTGCTGCTGCATGTTAAAGTATACATCATCTAATTCCAAACCACTGGGAGTAAAAAGAGCTGTCCTCTCTTTCATATGTATTAACTCTTATGAGGTATTAAGGGGCTCTGTGAACTTGGAAAGCTAACTACAAAATTGTCCTTACCGACATGAAAAGACATTGACAAGTGCCACCAATACATAGCCATGAATCCTTGCTGGCCTGGATGTCACAGTCTTTGTCTCTAGAAATCAAACTACTTTAAATACTCAGTGAGTTTATACAGTCATCACCTTCTCACATCACGTTTGGTGTAAAAACAAATGCTCAGAGGGAGCAATGTGTTTAAGCCATCTGACTTTTCTTATTAAACCAAATTTCTTTTTTCTTCCCAGTCTTAGTCTAGAAACAAGATGAATTAATTCATTCACCAATCTAACAGTAGAATAAAGAACAAAACAAAATCTTTCCAGTTTACCATCAATTCTCATTACACAGAACCACATGTTGAATGTACGTGAGATTTGAGTTGGTATGAATTGGGGTCTCTTTTTCTTGGGATCTCTTAGTCTCCTAAAGGTTGAACCACACAAAAACTAATTCATGTCTTTGTAGGTTAGCTGGGTTTCCATGAATCAATGTTTGACTACAAAGACTCAACCGAATAATTCTGAGCACTAAGAAATTCTGGTGAAGAAAATCCAATTATTTTCCAGGGCTATTTCAAATTTTTACAGAAATTTTTAAGCAACCTGTGTTTAAAATGTTAGCTATTTACTCTTTCTTTGTCAAAGTGGCCTGTCATTTTCTGTTGCTCCACTGCATTCTGTCAAAGCCATACCTGCATCCCTGCCAAAGCATGTTGGGCCAGTTTCACATTCTTGGATTCCAAAGCCAGCTGGAGAGGCAGCAGGCACTTCTCCCTGGCAAACACAGAGATAAGGACAACATGTGAGCTTAGTAAAGCTGGCAGTCAAGTGATATAAGCCTTATGTACCCCCGCCCCCAAACACTGCCACACACATGCACAAAAAGTATAACCAATAATGAAAATGCACATGCACTTTAAAATACCAGGGGGGAAAAAAAAGCTGTGTAGAAAGGACAGCATATCTACAGCTGGCCTTCTTAGTAGGGCTACAGGAAGAGTGAATAGAATTACTTCCACTAGTTAGCATATGGAACATTAATCAATACACCATCCATGAACATGCTTTTCTCTGTCTTCCCCAGACAATTGAATTGCTCACCTGCTACACCCAAGGTGAACAACCCTAGGAGCATCACATATATAGATTTCTGTGACTTGCTCATAACCCCTTCCTATCTGCGTCATCACCAACCCTCTGCCTCATCAACGATAATTTGTCAATTCCTCCTTAACTCAAAGTATTCAACTGTATAATCATTTAAAAATATTATCTGCAGTCTCCACCAAGAGGTAGATATATATTTTGTGACAGGTTCATAATCAACACATTTCCATGACAGAAATACATTTGAAAAGCAAAAAACCGAATAAACACCAAAACATGGAGAGCTACTTGGCTACTTTAAAGCTTAAAAAAAGAAGAAAGGGATTAAAATATCAGGAGTAAGCCAAAAGTGCTGCAAATACAAAAATATCTTTTAGAAGCAGTCACTCTAAATAATTAAACAATAGACTAAGAATTTTAATCAACTCTTTATTTCTCCATGGAGTTACACTGGCATAACAAATGAAATGTTACTTCTGTTTATCAAGTCCTTCCACCCACAATAAACTATTACGGACCCATTTTTTTTTTCTGTTTATATTTTCAGCAGAAACTTAAAAGATTCATTGACTTTCAGGAGTGTAAGAGCCACAGAGTTAGACTGTGGGATTTCATCTTTGGAGAAATAAGGGTCATTGCTGCAGAACACAATGAGACAGAAAGTTAATTATAGCTCTGATTCCTCCCTGTCCACCCCGCTGCTCAGCTGCTTTTCTGTGGAATCTTCCATCAGTAGCTCCCAACAGATGAAGTGAGAGACAGACACTCCCTGATGCCGGCCACAAAGACTGACCTGACAGCACATAGAAGAACACTCCCCTTCCGAGTCCTTCTCCCGTCTCCCCTCCCCAGCTCAGTGTCACAATGTCAATTTTTATATGAAACTGGTCAACACCACAGCTACTTTTCATTGGACACGTCCTCTGACAGATGGATAAATCACCCAACTCTGTTACTTCCAAGTTGGGTGACCATGACTTTGTCACTGCTAGTATTGTCAACTTGTCACAGTTACAAGGCAAATGCTGCTGTCCAGTTAGAGAAGGAAAAGATGATTTTTCCAAATTGGTCTCTTGTTCTATCATAACCAATTTATTAGCCTGGAGAAGTTAACTGGGAGGTTAAATGCTCAGTGAGAAGTAGGAATAATGGGCATAGCAGAAACAGCATCGAGGTTCACCTGAAAACCCCTGGGGGTGGGGGGAATCAAATTTCTAACAGGATTAATCCACTGTGAAAGAACTTTCACCCTTAATTTGGAGTCAGATCTGCCAATGACAGAAGAGTAACAAGGAGGAGGCCCAGAGGCCCTAAACTCTCACAGTTTAATAGCCTGGAGCAGGACAAATCCATTAGGTAGCTATAGGCTAAAAATATACAAGTTTTACATAGTAATCACCAAGGGTACCCAGCAAGAGTGGATGCCACATTTGGCAGCAACAGGATCCGGTTGGAAATATGCAACCTCTTGACCCTTGGAAAGCAGCCCGGGGTTTGTATAGGAACAACTGAACATCCATATTATCCTGCCATTGGCATTAGTAGCCCCGGAGACCCTCATTCCACTTTGTTATCAGGTGATTGATGTTGCTGACCTGAGGCCAGGTTGCTGACAAATGCCAGGACGGCCAAGTTGCACCATGCCTTCAGGGGATGCCACCGAGCTGCTCCCCATTCCAGGAATGGTCATCATGAAGGCCAGGTGGAGTTTGTTCAACTAGATTTTGGATAAGTTGAAAGGTATCTGTGTTCAGTGGAAAGACAATGGGCTGTGGAATCATCCAGACCTGGAATCATCTGAACCATTTAGAGGGTGTGCAATCTCATCAAGACACTTAAAATGCTGGTGTGTCTTAATCCTTCTTAACCCTAGAAAAGGAATCTTAAGATCAACCCTCATTCCTTAGAGTGAGGAGTGCACAGAGCACATCCCAGGGATGGCAAATTTTTCTGTAAAAAGCCAGGTAATGACTGTTATAGCTCTAGACTACATGTTTAGACTGGGTAATTCATATGGTCTCTGACCCAACTACTCAGCTCTGCTGAGGCACAGAAGCAGTCATGGACAATAAATAAAGCAACAGCATGGCTATGTTCCAAAATAACTAGAAAATGGGCAAAGGTCTACAGGCTGTCCAGCCCTCACACAGACAACATGCCCAACACAGATCATGATTTTCAGCATAGGATGAGCAGATCAAATCATTTCATGTATGCAGAAAGCTTCTGCACAGGACATGGGGTTAACTGTCTTTGGAGGGTTTAGCAAAGCCAATTAGAGCTCCAAGATTTCTCTTAGAAAACAAATGCTTTGAAGAATTATCACTATAAACCGATTTCTTTGGGGTACTAAACAAAGGCACTGCATCCATTGGCCATCCATTCAACTAACTTTTGAGTGCTTACTGAGTACCAGGCACCACATTGGGTACTGAGGAAGATCTAGATAAGATTAAGATAGAACAGGTACTCGCTTTCATTTGTATTCATGGAATGAAAGAGAAAACTAGCATGTATTACTTTTTGTGTTTAGTATTACTATCACTACAATCCCAAAGCATTCATTCCTACCCTTGTTTCACATTTGAGAAAAATGTGAGTTCAGAGAAGTTTTGGAGGCTGCTCAAGGTCACACAGATAACATGCATTAGCGGCAATTCAAATCTAAATCTATCTGACATCCCAAACCAAGTTCCTCTGAACCTCAAAATTTCAGAGCCCAACTAAAATAAATGTGTCTGACCTTTCTTTAGATCATGGACACCAAAATACCTGGCAAAAGACCTTCTGTCTAGAGGAGGGCATATATCATTTCCAGGGGACTAAGGGGCCTCCAAACACCAATTCCACATGGATCCCAAGTTAAGAGTCCCCCCATCCTTAGGGGAAAGGACTTTGCCCAACATGGTGGAAAGTGCAGGGTCTGTAGCGAGTGGAGGGCTGTGTTCCTTGGCCTGTCTGGACTCTGCTAAGATGGCCTTTGAAGTGGTTTTATACTGGGCCCTGGGCAGAAAGGTAGCTTCCTGCATTCCTGTTGTGAGTGCACAGAGTGGAGGGGAAATGACTGACTCTCCTCAGTAGCCAAGGCCTCTCATCCCTCCCCATCCCCCAAAGTAGGGTCATCAGCCTCAGATATGGACTTCAACTGGGAAGTAACACATGTAGAAATAAATAAAACTCACGAGGGCGTAACGGATCTCCTCATCTGCCCTGTGATATCATAAAAGCCCTCCTGCCTTCACTTCTTAAAAGTGATTTTAATGAAAGAGAATAACAGGCCTGTTAATTGGGTCTCAGGATGGGATTTATAATAAAGATGCAACAAGGCCCTCAGTCCCCCTTGCACATACTGTATGGAATAAATCATCTTTTGATCTTTCTGGATGCTCCCTCATTGGGAAAAGGGCACGCGGAAAACCAACAGTCAATTACATCTAGTGATTTTTTTATGCAGAGGCATGTGCAAATTCACTCTTGCCTAATTAAATAAAGGCAGTGGCCCCAGGGTTTCGTGTTCTGACATGCCTTTATCTCTTAAAGAAGAATAATTAGCAGGCTGCATATTCACAAGAAAGACATTATCCTGTGACACTGTGTCTCATCGTGTCAAGGAGACTGAACCTGTTTCCTTAGCTTCACTGTCACAGTTCACGGACCATCTTTATTAGATTGGAAAATAGCAAAGGACAAAGGAAAATTAAAATAGGAGAACAGGGGAAGAGTTAGGATTTACCAGTTATTACCTATTAATATGAGCACAAGCAAAAACTGCAAGTAAAACCAAAGATATTTCTGAATGTTTGTCTGATTCTTTTTTGATGCATGGGGTAGGAAGGAGCTGGAAGGTATCACACGTTTGCAAGGGCTGCTTACACTCTATAATTCTAGGATTCTATGAGCTAAGTCATTTATTAATCACTGTCTGATGCTAAAGCATAACCATGGTTCTGATTGACATCAGTGGCTTATACGTAAAATGTACCCAGCCACACACATTTGTAGTTATCATTTTATCTGATTATAACTTTTAAAGGTAGAGATTTGCTGTGGTTTGAACATTTTTTGTTCTCACCAAAACTCATGTTGAGGTTTGGTCTTCAAAGCAGTGGTATTGGGAGATGGGACCTGGTGAGAAGTGTGTGGATCATGGTGATGGGGCCTTCCTGTATGGATTTATGCCATCTTTCAGAAGTGAGTTCTGCTCTCTAGGGACTGGGTGAGCTACTGTAAGAGAGGGTAGTGATAAAGCAAGTTCAACCTCATGCCCTTCCATCTGCAGGTGCCCACTTGTCCTTATGGACTTCCCTACTACTAGAGACATGAGATGAAATACACCTCATTGCTTTATAAATTACCTAGTCTCAGGCATTCTGTTGTATAAACAGAAAACAGACTAAGACAAGGTTTAACTGTCAACAAAACTGAAACTAAGAGAAATTAGATTTCTTGCCCAAGGTCACATATCTGTAAGTGACAAAGCCATGATCTAGATGTAGCTCTTACGTTTATCAAACTTGTGTCCTCAAGGCTACATCACATGCTTATGCCAACAGAGGGCTCTATCAATGATGGTGTATGTCACACTACTATAAACATCTGCTAGGTCAGAAATGGAGACAGGCATCAAACAGGTAATGTAAATCATCTTATTTAGAGGGAAAATTCGTGAACCAATGTGTGTTATATTTGACAGTGTGGCATTAAGAGAAGTTATAGGATATTTGGATGAGTGGAAAAATTTTCGCTGTGGTGGGTTCAAGCCTCAACCATCCTATTCCCAGTCCTCATGACCTTTCCCAGTTTGAGAACAGAAGGGTTTTCACCCCTGCTGCCATTGCGACTCTCAGGATGCTATCATTCATGTTTACGAATATGGATGGTGTAAACAGCTTGTACCAACATTAGTAAACTTTATTGATTAAGCTTTTAAAAATTTGATTCCATTGAGCCAATTGGAACTAAATTATTCTTTAATTTTCTCTAGAGTGCAGTTAAAATATTTCCATTTTATTTCTATTCTCATGAAATTATTTTTATCAGAGTCAATCCTTTTCTTTCATATTTCAAAACAAAGATTTGATTCACCTACAAGGAACTATTTTAGGCCTTAGGGATATAGCTGGGAACAACCTAAAATCCATTTTCTCCTGCAAGCTTTCAAGATTCCTCAGCCAACCTATTGCAGTTATTAAGTTGAGCATCATTTTTGTAAGTTGGAACATTGGCAATTTTAAGTGATTCAATCTAGTAAAGAGAAACCTAAAAATATAATATGGTTAGGTTCCTATGTAGCTTAGGAAATAAACTTTTATTATCTACCATTTTCTTATAAAAGGCTGAAATATTCTTTAAAGAAATCCAAAGAGTACAAGAGGATATAACAACAATGGAAATCATTAGGGTATTACTCAGATGGAGCTTAGCTAAATGTTGACAGTGGATTTTTCTAGATAGGAATCTTTTATATATTTAATATATATATATATATATATATATATATATATATATATATATTTCTTTGATACAAATAGAATATATATGTATAAGCTTTACATAATAACTCTAGAGTATACTTGCATAATCTGAAGAAAATATTTTCTTAAAGCCACTAAGACTGGACTTCTCACAAAACCACCACAGCATTTCCTTTTCCTGCTCAGCTCAAAAAAGTAAGTGAATTCACCTTTATAGACACAAAATACTATGTAAAAACTCATTTTCTTCCACTTCTTTCTGAAACTTACATCAACAGTTTACATATTCTTTATAACAAATAGACCTGTTGATCTGTCTGGAAAGTTCTGTTCACATTACAGGTCTCACTATGCTAATTGATTTGGTTTTGTAATAAGAGGACGGCTGCAAGAAGAATGCTTATCAATTATCTGAAGAATTTTCAATACTAGATTTTTATCTCTACTATTTGATATATCTATTTTTTAAATAGCTGCAAAAAAATCTGCAGAATAAATACCAAAATATTATTATATTGTCATGAAAGGACAATGGATTTAACTTTTTTCATCTGATATTCTTACAATACTTAAAAATGTAAAACACTACAGGTCAACAAGATAATTTGTAAGGAAAAACAAATTTCTGTTCA